GTTGGTCAAACTATACATCTTAGATGACAGATGACACAGGCGTGTATGAATTTGAACAAGTGGCTCTACACAGCAGCACAACTTGTTGGTCAAACTATACATCTTAGATGACAGATGACACAGGCGTGTATGAATTTGAACAAGTGGCTCTACACAGCAGCACAACTTGTTGGTCAAACTATACATCTTAGATGACAGATGACACAGGCGTGTATATGAACAAGTGGCTGTTTTGCACAGTGTGTGCTTGGTAGAATGGAGGGGCTTTTCCTGAAGTCTTCCAGCATATCTTGGGTAGGACAAGGATGAAATGAAAGTCAAAGTCCCTCTCGTTTGAAACCAAATTGCTTTAGGTTGAGAAAGTGGAGTACATTGTTCATTACTTGCTCGGTGCCTGTAATTATTTACACAAAAACCTTGTGTTTGCTATAACGAACGAACGCTTGGGTTCAACGAAAGTGAAGATCAAGCCCAACAATTGTGTTGAATCCCCGAAGTCCCACTGTATTGTTGTGTTGTGCCGCTGGTTTTGTGGGGTTTTTCCTTGTGAAAAAATGGTAGAAATGATAAGTGCTGCATGTTTCTTACTGTTAGTTTTCTCCCGATTCTCTTCCCTGTCAGAGAGGGTTGAAGCTGGGACCGGTGGAGCTGGAGGCGGGGCTAGTGACCTTGACCTCTGCTGACATGATCTATCGGGTGAGTGGACTTTCTTTCCCTGTCTGTGGCACCCCGGGAGGGGGAGTCACAACATGAACTTGTCACTCAATGTGTTATCTCTCTGTGGGTGGTTGGCGGCTGCTCTGGTGTGGTTTGCTCCTTCTCTCCTATCAAACATCTATCGTCCTTATCTCCCCTCCTTTTTTGTGTATGTTACTCTCTTGTAACTCCTCTAATCTTGGGCACTTGTATATGACCTTATTGTGTTGCAAGTCGTCCCATGAGAGCCAGTTCCACGTATCAAGGTTTTGGCCAATTTTTCAGGAGTTACAAAAAACTGATTACTGTAGGTATGTATGAATGATCAACACACGGGAAACATGAAGCCCTAAAAGATCATATACACGATTTAGGAATTCTAGGCTTTCCTGTCGGGTCCGCAGTAATTCTTGTTGCTTCCTCCAAGTTGTAACAATATTGAAATCCTTTCCCCACATCTCAAGATAAGCTAATTTGGAAGCAAACGACTGTGATAAGTGAAACAGTTATTTGCTATTTATAGCGATTTAAAGGCGGGGAACTCAGTGAAACTTACACAGAAACGAAGCCCATGATACGCACTTTCGATTGGTGAAAAAAACATTTTCGCGCCAAAATGATGCTACGTGGATCTGTCTTCCAGGACGAAAGTGGCGTAAAACTCTGACCAACGGTGAACTGTGTTCTTCCTTCCTGCAGGTGGCCGTAGAGTTTGCCGCTGATTTGTTGAGAGAGGCAGCGGGGGTGAGCGCTACACGGTGAGTCATGCGTAGTGAGTGAGTCATACATACTGAGTCATGCATACTGAGTCATACATAGTGAGTCAGTCATACATAGTGAGTCATACATAGTCAGTCATATATAGTCAGTCATACATAGTGAGTCATACATACATAGTGAGTCATACATACATAGTGAGTCATACATAGTGAGTCATACATACATAGTGAGTCATACATAGTGAGTCATACATACGTAGTGAGTCATACATACGTAGTGAGTCATGCATAGTGAGTCATACATAGTGAGTCATGCGTAGTGAGTCATGCGTAGTGAGTCATACATACATAGTGAGTCATACATAGTGAGTGATACATACATAGTGAGTGATACATACATAGTGAGTCATACATAGTGAGTCATACATAGTGAGTCATACATAGTGAGTCATACATACATTGTGAGTCATACATACATAGTGAGTCATACATACATAGTGAGTCATACATACATAGTCATACATAGTGAGTGAGTCATACATAGTGAGTCATACATAGTGAGTCATGCATAGTGAATCATGCATAGTGAGTCATGCATACATAGTGAGTCATGCATACATAGTGAGTCATGCATAGTGAGTCATGCATACATAGTGAGTCATGCATAGTGAGTGAGTGATACATTGTGAGTGAGTCATACATAGTCCACGGCGCACCGGCAGTGGAATTTTAGTTGCCGCGGGGGGTTCCCTGCCGGGCGCCTTATCACGTCGGGGTCACGGGGGTCAGCTCCCTGTCGCCGCTCTGTCTGGGCCGACTTAATTTTTGGTACTTTTCAACGTTCAATTTTAGGTGTATCCTTGTATTTATGGTAATTCTCATTTAGTACACCCAAAGCACGCATTTCTGCTCTTGAGACTTAAAAAAGAACGGACGTTGTAACTTGTCTGGTTATTTCGTTAGACGCGCTGGAGTCGGCAATGCTAAATTGTAATTTTTTTTGACTAGCGTGAATGAAAAAAAATCAATATAAAAAAAAGGCATCGTCAAAATCTGTGGAACTTTTGGAACATGAACGACATAACATTAGCCCAGATACTCAGAAAAGATGGTATCTGCGCTTATAATAGAAGGCTGTAATTTTGCAATTTTATCCATCGGGCACACAATTCACTATGAAGTAATTCCTCCAAATACAACTTTATGTGTCTAATATAATAGTGAATATTCGCTTATTTTCTCGAAAGTTTATAAACGTTATCATGAAGTTTCTCTATGAAAAGTACAAATCGAATTTAGTGCTAGAATATATCTTCAACGTAGATCTAATACACGAACAGTATCTGTTACACTCCAGAAATTGCTTACTTTTCTTAAAACGCTAAGTCTAGGTTTTGTAAGTTGACTGAATAATAGGGATGACTTCTCGTAATTGGGTTATAAGAATAATTTCTAGCTTCCCAGGGACACTGAATCAGCACCAGACTTTTCCAGCTTTTTTTACATTTCTATGACCATTTGCAATAACTGACAATGTGACTGATTTCTTTACATTCATAATTGTGTCCGCGCATATTTTCTACACAAAAACTAAGAATGAATGTTTTAGCTGTCAATATTTTGATTCCATACAAGAAGTTTATCTCCACCCATATATTTACACGGTTTTGTGGTTTTTTAAATCGCTTATATTATATCTTTTTAGTTGTATGCAGTCTGCCACAGACACAGCATGATTCATGAACAAACGCAGAGTAACTCTCTCTTGTTTAATAGTAAAATAAGAGCTAACGCTGATCGTCTTTAGTTAAATATGCAGATGTGCATCTTTCTTCTCTTATAACTTGACTATTACTACTACCGCAGATTTAACATTTCTCATGGTCAAAGACATGATATTCGTAGTCAGTTTAACACAGAATTTGGAGAGATCTGTCGTGCCTTTTTAAAATTAACAATCATTTATTCATAAGTTTGTAACTAAAATAGGACAAATTGGGTACTCTACAAACACTTGTCTAGAGCAAAAACTAAGGCACAGAAACTAACCATTCTAACGCAGAATAAATCTCAAGACATTGAGCTTTTAGTACATCCGCGTAATGGTTTGCTGTGTGGGATGGGGAAGAAGTTATATCGTTTTAAACATAGTCAAAAATGCGAACTTCCCGACCGACACCGGCAAAGTCGCCTCAGGGCTCATTAACCCCGTGACCCCGAGCCGGGGAGCTCTAGCGGGCTGCTGAGTCACGCTGACTAAAAGTAACAGAATCGGGCGGAAAGTGACGCTGTGAGTGAGTCATGCATAGTGAGTCATACATAGTGAGTCATGCATAGTGAGTCATGCATACATAGTGAGTCATGCATAGTGAGTGAGTGATACATTGTGAGTGAGTCATGCATAGTGAGTCATGCATAGTGAGTCAGTCATACATAGTGAGTCATGCATAGTGAGTCATACATTGTGAGTCAGTCATACATAGTGAGTCATGCATAGTGAGTCATACATAGTGAGTCAGTCATACATAGTGAGTCATACATAGTGAGTCATACATAGTGAGTCATACATACATAGTGAGTCATACATACATAGTGAGTCATGCATAGTGAGTCATACATAGTGAGTCATACATACATAGTGAGTCATACATACATAGTGAGTCATGCATAGTGAGTCATACATAATGAATCATACATACATAGTGAGTCATACATAGTGAGTCATACATAGTGAGTCCACTGAGAAACGAAACAAATCTGCGTAGCTGTCCTCCACAAGAAAGTGTCGGAAATGGTATTTCGCGAGGCATATTTTGTTTTGAGAGTATAGATCTAGACCTTTTGATTTTTGCATCTCAAGATTTATTGCTCCATTCCAGTAGAGAGTAAATATAGTAGGCCAATGACTTTTAGTTGATGTTAATGCAGCGGTCTTTCCTTTCTTCGAAAGGGGGCCCAGCTAGTGTGTATAATGAGTCACAATAGGACATAATGAGTCACAATATGACATAATGAGTCACAATATGACATAATGAGACACAATATCACACAGAATGAGTCACAATATCACACAGAATGAGTCACAATATCACACAGAATGAGTCACAATATGACATAATGAATCACAATATGACATAATGAGACACAATATGACATAATGAGTCATAATATGACATAATGAATCACAATATCACACAGAATGAGTCACAATATCACACAGAATGAGTCACAATATGACATAATGAATCACAATATCACACAGAATGAGTCACAATATCACACAGAATGAGCCACAATATGACACAGAATGAGTCACAATATGACACAGAATGAACCACAATATGACACAGAATGAGTCACAATATGACACAGAATGAGCCACAATATGACACAGAATGAGCCACAATATGACACAGAATGAGTCACAATATGACACAGAATGAGCCACAATATGACATAGTCCCCGTGTCCCGTCGCCAGGTTTTCTCGTGTGCTAAGTGTGGAAGACGTCCACTCAGCCCTCTCCTCCCTCCCCACCGCAGCGTTCTGCCGCAGCAGCTACCTCGGGAAGGAGGCGGACAGCGACGGGATCAGCAGATGACATCGTCATCATCATCATCATCATCATCATCATCATCATCGCCATCATCACCATCACCCTCCCCTATGCCGTGGTCTCATGCACCAACAAACAGCTCAGATGACCAGCTGTCATAGTCCGCCTGGCCCTGGATGGGTCCAAACTTTACCGTGTTCCTGGGGGGGGGGGGGGGGGGGGGGTGTCGGGCAGGTATGGTGTCATGGGAGGGGAAGGGGGGTTGAGGTCGGGAGGGGGGCTGCCAGTCAAAGTCTTTGTTCAATAGGATACCTTGTAGTTTTTCAACTCTTAATAAAGAAAGAAAATGGAGAATTCGTCTTCCTTTCAAAGAGTCGGATGTTTCATTGAGGTCCGTCAGTGGGAACATCCGTCATTGCCTTGCTGTCAATTGTTAATCTACTTCCAGTCACACTTCTTCCTTGCCCCCACAGTTCTTCCAAACCCAGCGTTTGTGACTCACGTTCACTCAACTACTCACCAAAACTCTCACACTTTCTCAAACTGCTCAAAAACACTTTGAAACTATCAACTTGAGAATATTCTTGACAGTTTCCTGCACCTGCGCTGAACACAACAGATGCAACTGGGGAATTATCAACGTCCTGTGCTGGTTTGTCAAAACCCAAAACCTCTTTTCAATAAGACATACAAAGCTGAACACAACAGATGCAACTGGGGAATTATCAACGTCCTGTGCTGGTTTGTCAAAACCCAAAACCTCTTTTCAATAAGACATACAAAGAAGGTTTGGTTCATTGCTGTTGTTGTTATCGATCCAGTTTGGTTCATTGTTAAACCGACTAAGGAGAGTGACAGGTGTTGAAAATGCGTAATTTTTAATTTTAACGCAATTAAAAATTTTTCTACAAATGCTTTATTCAGATCATGTTCTCAAGGATAAATGAAGCTCTGGAACATATTAAAAACAATTGTACCAGCATCTAGCCTAAAATGACCTTTCTGTAAGCCTTCAAATAAAAGCGTTATGGGAGTGGGCTGGCACATCAGGCTTTGATCTATCTTCTCAAAATCCCACAAAGACAGGATCTACAAAGACAGAATTAAGCCTAAAATTTTAGCACCCAATGCCCAGACCATCCATTTATGCTGGCCCAAAAGTGTGGCCCTCTTCAATGAACTTATTTTTTTCACAAAGCTGATTTCCGAACCTGTTTACTTTTAGAAAGAAAGTTTATTTTCACTTGAGCTTCACTTCGTCTCTTTCTCACTTGTTGATGCCACGTTGATTTGTTATTTTTGACTTGAAGAATATAAGTACATGACATACTATTTGTATTGCTGGTTCTCTTTGATTTTTCCTTCTTTGTTTTGTTTTGATTTGTTGGTGTGTTAATTTTTGTTCTTGTTATTGTTCTGGTGTGTTGTTTTTCTATTTTTTGGGTGTTTATATATATATAGTGCACTGTCATTTAATTTGATGTAGTTCCTACCTCTTTTTATACATGTATGTATTTAAATGGGGAGTGCACCTTTCTCATTTAGTACAGTTTTGCCTCAGTGTACAACTTATAAATCATAACCATAATGAATATTGTAAGAACAAAGCACAATACGCAAAATTTTGCTCAATCCCAATGGTTTGAATGAGGGCCAGATTTTTCCTTCATGGAGGGGCAAAAGCTGGGCTACCATTTTGGCACACTTTGGTCAAGTGAAAAGGTCAAATCCTCCGAATGGACTTCCGGGTCAAATTTGGTGTATAAAAAGTGTGTATACTACGTGGCTGAGTCAAAGTTACATTATCTTTGCCTGGGTGGCACTCTCTCTTACTGTCTCATAGTAGTAGTATTAGTAGTAGTAGTAGTAGCAATAGCAAAGATCGTGTAGAGAATCTTTGGTAGTAGATCTAGTAGGCATTTAGTGAACGTGCACGCGGAAGGGCCTCGATAAGCCCCGTAGACTTTTGTGATCGGCCACGAAGCCTCGTGTTTTGATGGGTCTAAACAACTTGGTGTTAATCGCACTGCCACATCCGACAGGCCTACATCTTTTTAAAAGGAAAAGAAAGGTCATCAAAATGGTTGAATTCGCGTGAAAATCGATTCGGTAGAACTGGAACTATTAAAATGTGCTTCTGAAAACAAGTTACAAGGCCATTTTTACAACGTGATGAAATAAAAACTAGTGGCTGTGTTATTCTGTGTACAGTGGAATCCAGTTATAACGAGAGGGAGGGGAACGGTGGGAATGTCTGTTTTACCAGGATTCTCCTTGTAAGGGATCCAGTTATAACGAGAGGGAGGGGACCAGTGGGAATGTCTGTTTTACCAGGATTCTCCTTGTAAGGGATCCAGTTATAAAGTCAAGGGTAATAGTGAAGTAGGCCTAATCTATGAGTTTGGCGTTCTGTTTATTCCTTTTTGTATTTCCCCTGATGATGATTTTGTTCAATATGATCTCTAGGTCTTACTTGATCAAAAATCGAGTCAAGTATCTTTCTTGAGCTCTAGCAATGTTGACAACTCGGCGTTGGCGATCAGAAAGAAGGGGCTCTGGCTCTAGGCTAACTCGCCCGCTGTGTTGTTCCCCACCCCACCACACCCTGTGGTGCGTTGCGTCTGCTCGCGCACGTCACACATTCACTCCATCTATCACAGCATTGTGACCTCTCCATCCCGCACCAGAGAAATGAGAGTCATGTTAGGCCAATATAATTTAGACTAGGCTGGCCTATCACGCAATGCGTTCTGCTTGTCTGCGCATGCCACACCCTTCCCACTCATTCGCTCCGGCCTACATTGTTGGTTCGCGTGGGCTCTCCCATTCTTTGATTCGCTGGATCACCAACAACTTTCTTAACTGACAAGGTTTTATGTTTAATTAGTCCGTTTTATAGCTGACTCGCGTGATGGTCTGATTGCGCAATAGCAGTATTTTATTTACAAAGATAAAGAAGGGAAAAAAACGGGGTTTTAGAATAGTGTCTTTATAACAGACTTCTCGTTGTTTCAGGACTCGTTATAAGTGGACTCCACTAAATTATGAAACTTCAGGACGTATTATTATTTTCCAACATCTTTTGACGCCTTAGCTGTAGAGGTTGAAGTTTTCACAACACTAATAGATCTAGAAATCTAGTAATAGGGCTTTCCGTAAAAATGCATAGATCTACAAAAGCCGAACCACCGAACCGACCGGTGAGGGACCCGGGCACCCCGCTCTCCCCTGCACACTGTGATAACGTGTTGCTTCGGTATCGCATTATTCAACTATTAATACGTGCGGCTATGGCAATTGGGATGTACTGACTGACAAAACAATTCACAGTTTTGTTTTTATTTGACCATATATTTGACTTTAATAGTGCAGGTGATAGCTAGATCTAGATTCCCTGTCTAGAATCAGTAGTAGCAGGCCTATGCTAGAAGCAGCCAGAGAGCCTACAACTGCTAGATCTAGATCTAACTCATTGCTTGCTATGCCTTTGGGCTTTGGAACTGAAATAAAACGAATTGCACAGTTCTAGTTACTTTTAGATTCAGGAACTATCTGTATTTCCAGAGTTAATAATAACAAATTTCACCATAACAATCACTTTTACTTTTATTAGAATAATTATATTTTTAAAACTCTTTTTTTAACATGTCATAAAATCAAATTGTGCCATTTTCTTTGATAAGAATAACATTAGCAGTGGACTTTTTAGACAGCGAGTCTCTGATTCAATATATTTTTGTTTTGAAATGCCAATCAATGAAAATTGCTAATTGATAATAGTCCTGTAGAGGATAGGTGGACTCCGGGGTCTGCGTAGCGAAATACTAGGTTTTAGGATGTGAACCCCGGAGTCACCGTAGTGAAATAAGGTTTGGTTTAAGTGAGGATTGGTGGACCCCGGGATCAACGTAGTAATAAATAAGCAGGTTTAAGGTGGACCCCGGGGCCCAGGGTCTACCTAGCGAAATACTAGGTTTTAGGACAGGTGGACCCCGGGGTCACCGTAGTGAAATAAGTAGGTTTCTTTAAAGATTGGTGGACCCCGGGGTCATCGTAGTGAAATAAGTAGGTTTCTTTAAAGATCGGTGGACCCCGGAGTCACCATAGCTGAAGAGGAATAAGAAGGTTTAATTAAGGATTGGTGGACCCCAGGGACACCGTGATTAAACCTACTTATTTTACTATGGTGACCGCAGGTTCCACCTATTCTAAAAACCTAACTAGTATTTCGTTAGGTAGACCCTGGGGTCCACCTTAAACCTACCTATTTCACTACGTTGACTCCAGGGTCCAGCAATCCTCCTCATGTGGCCTAAATAAGGTCAACCATTTAAATGTGTTATTGTAGAGCGTGTCTCCACCTCAAGAAAATCTCAATCTTTTTTAGTTATAAATGAATTTATATTTTTTAAAAATATCTCTATCTTTTCCAAAAATAAGCTAATTCATTTTGTAATGCCCTATCATTTGGAAATATAAGCTCATTCATAAGAAAAAGCAGAAAAAAAGACAAGAATAATTCTTTATATTTTTCAGTAAACTCTTTCATTAGAAAATAATTTCCTCCTGTGTTTCATGAATAGTAAGATATATTTTTCAAAAATCCTTACAGTCATTCATTAAAAAAGCCCTATCTTTTAAAAGAAATGTGCACATTCTTAGGCTAGATGTCCTCAGGCCCCGCCCCTCATCAGGAAAAGTCTGGACAGAAGCGGGCCGGTTCTCTTTATCCACACCATCCGCTCCACTTTTTATTTCGACACGTGATGCAAAATGGCACTGACCAGAAAACGCCACGTTCTTCTTTGGTGGCACAAGAGGAAATATCTCTCCGTCAATTACCATTGGTGCTGGATTCATCCTAGTTGTGACTGCACCCAACTAGGAGAGTTCAGACCCTACCCCATATAGTCTGATGAAACAAAATGCTTGGACTAATAGACTGTCCTTGGATGAAGAAAGCTACATTTGACTCTGTTCTGACTACCTGCGCCCCTGGCTTACAGAAAAAGACACACATGCTGGAGAAAGGCCTTTCCACCAACCGAAATATTAGTTTAAATGCTTGTGGGTTTTTTCCTTGATCATTAATCCCATCATCACCGTCATCATCATCATCAGCAGCAGCAGCAGCAGCAGCAGCATGGTCAGAGTCCACCACATGACAGCCCCTCCCCGCGTGCAGTATAACGTCTGACATGTTGGACTTTGACCCACACGACTGA